GGAACTACCAAATTTATCTGTGTGTAATCTTTCAGTATTCCTAATCTTTTCATTCTTTTTTTCTTTTGTTTTTGCACTAAAAACTTTTGATATCAATAGTTATTTGTTTTATAAAAGAGTGGTTAAAGTGCCATATCACTTTCAACTTATCATGCTTTTCATGGGGATCAGTCCATTTTGTCTGGTATAGAAAATGTAGAACCAGTTTACAATACACAAAGTGTTAAAAGTATGTTCTGACAGAATCAAACTGATAATTTGAAAATAGACTTTTAAACCTTGAAAAAGGTATATTTGGCACCAAAACTAAGTAATTAATAAAGTCATGAAAGTATAAAGTTAACAAAGATTGAATATTTGATTCCAAAAATTGAAATATATTTGATTTTAAGGCCAGGTTGACTCCAAATTGTAGCCAACAAGTGTGGATGCCATGTTGAACTGCATATGAATATGGGGGAAGGGAGGGGGTAATATTGTATATTAAATTTTGATATTGATGAAATTGAATTTTCAATGGCAATAACATATAATTTTAAAAGAAAACTTTAAGAAAAGAATTAGAAGATGAGAACATTTATATTCATTCCCCACATAGTAACATACACCTATAATACTTACAATTTTAGATGTAAAACAGTATTGTTAAACCATCATTATTTTATACCTATTTTTATTAATATCATTAATAATTCATAAATTGTGCATGAATTTGAAATTAGGCAAATTCAACTACAATGTATGTTAAAAGCTTGAGCTTGGTGATGTATCAATATACCCTTTTACTTATATCGTAATTCCTTATGAAGATTATAGTACAAAGAAGAAAGGAGTTTAAATTTTTCTTCTTTTCAAAGGTACTTAATTTCTTGGGTGTTTAGTTGTGGTTGATTTTTCATTTCATAACAGGTTCTGCTTATAAACTTTTCAAGATTTCATCAAAACTTACTGCGGATAGATATGCGAACTCTTTAAATAAAAATAGCACTATTATTTACTGTAAATTCAGCAATTAATGCATGCATTTATTATTGCGAATCCTTGACATATTACAAAATGAGAAATCTAATTAATGTGATTACAAAAAAAATTCATGAAGAAAAATCACTACTGTAATTATGAATGCAAGTTTTTATTATTGTAAAACTGTTGTTTTTTTCTCAATAATTGAAACAACTCAATAATTTCTGAATTTACAGTATTCTTATTTCCATGATAGGGAAACATTGATTTAGTAAAACAAAACACCATGTGTCGAATACATTCAGATCTTGTCTGAGAAATACATTGCTCTATGGGTAGTTTTAGTTTGGATCAGGTTTGTACTTTTTATACGACGTATATTGGTATGATGTTGGTGTCGTCGTCGTCGTCGTCCGAAGACACATTGGTTTTCGCACTCTAACTTTAGTTTAAGTGAATGGATCTCTATGAAATTCTACCATAAGGTTCCATACCACAACAGGAAGGTGGGGATTGATTTTGGGGGTTATGGTACCAACAGTTAAGGAATTAGGGGCCTAAAAAAAGCTTTATTGTAACTTCCAGACATAACTTGTGTGTGAGTGTATGGATCTCTCTGACATTGTACCACAAGGTTCCATATCACAAAGGGAATGCTGGGATTGATTTTGGGGGTAATTGCCTCCAAATTTTAGGAATTTGGGACAAAAAAGGGGCAAAAAACAAGCATTTTTCTAGTTTCATGACAATAACTTGTGTGTAAGTGTATGGATCTCTCTGACATTGTACCACAAGGTTCCATATCACAAAGGGAATGCTGAGACTGATTTTGGGGGTATTTGCCTCAAAATTTTAGGAATTAGGGGCCAAAAAGGGGCAAAAAACAAGCAGTTTTCCAGTTTCATGACAATAACTTGTGTGTAAGTGTATGGATCTTTATGAAATTGTACTACAAGGTTCCATATCACAAAGGGAAAGCTGGAATTGAGTTTGGGGGTAATTGCCCAAAACGTTTAGGAATAAGGGGCCAAAAAGGGGCAAAAAATAAGCATTTTTTCTAGTTTCCAGACAATAACTTGTGTTCAAGTGTATGGATCTCTCTGAAATTGTAGTGCAAGGTACCATACCACAAAGGGAAGGCTGGGATTGATTTTGGGGGTAATTGCCTCAAAATTTTAGGAATAAGGGGCCATAAAGGGGCAAAAAAACAAGCATTTTTCTAGTTTCAGGACAATAACTTGTGTTTAAGTGTATGGATCTTTATGAAATTGTACTACAAGGTTCCATATCACAAAGGGAAAGCTGGGTTTGAGTTTGGGGGTAATTGCCCTAAACGTTTAGGAATTTGGGGCCAAACAATTAGCATTTTTCTAGTTTCCAGACAATAACTTGTGTTCAAGTGTATGGATCTCTCTGAAATTGTACTGCAAGGTACCATACCACAAAGGGAAGGCTGGGATTGAGTTTGGGGGTGATGAATCATAAGGGGGTTCAAAAAATTGGGGAGGGGGGATTATTTTTTCCTTTTTTTTTCTTTAAAATTTTCCATTTTAAATTGGTTATTTCTGATTTATTTATAAAAGCAAATAATAATGATATGGTTTGAATAGGTAAATTAAGAACTTTTAAGTTCTTAGACCACATTCATTCTGTGTCAGAAACCTATGCTGTGTCAAATATTTAATCACAATCCAAATTCAGTGCTGTATCAAGCTTGAATGTTGTGTCCATACTTGCCCCAACTGTTCAGGGTTTGACCTCTGCGGTCGTATCAAGTTGCGGCCCAGCGGAGCATTTTATTTGCTTTATTTTTTTTTTTATCATAAACACTGAATGACTTATAAACAGTAAAATCTGTCTGACCATTAGAATCTATTTGGGACTGAAGTTTTTGTTCCTATTAGGTTTTATCCAATCACGTTTCTATTAAAAATCAATTAAATATACTGATACAAGACTGTGGGACAGATCCACCAAGATTTATGAAAAAAGGGGGTTGGGGTAGGCATAAGTGCAGATAATGCTATTTATAGAGAAAAAAATTTGGACAATTTTATGCTAATATATTTTCTTATCAAAGGGGTACCAGGCTCTCTATGCTCCCTCTGAATCCTCCACTGAGACTTAAGTGTAGATTGTTTTTCTGTTTACACAGGATTCAGCTTAGACAGATCTCACTACATATAAAAACCACGACACAAGTGGCTCATTAGCAATCTGCAAATAAGAAAAAAATTGTTTCATATTAATTTAAGCATTTACATGTTCTCCTCCTTATATGCATGTAATACTTGCTACTGGACACTTAACACTAATTCATCATCATCATCTATGTAATAAGTTTTGTACTGTACTGGAATTTGCGTAGGTAAAAAATTATCTCCGTTTTCCGCTAACCTACTGGAAAGAGTAAGGGTCAGAAGGTAGGGAAGAGTTTTAAGTTTTCTACCTAGGTTCTGCAGAGGACTATTCTTGACTTTAATATAAATGCTTGTTCCAAAATGGCAAAAAAAACTTTAGGATTATTAAGGCACAAAAATATAGGGTAGGTAGTGTTGGCAGAAACACAGGTATATTTTTTCTTGCCTTAAGACTAAGAAAGTTCTTTGGAGGTATGTGATATTGAGTGTGGTTGTACTGTTACATATCAGTTGATACTAGTACTTTATACTCAAGCGTCAGTTTCAACAAGTACATATTGAAATGGATAAAATGAAATAAGAAATTGTCAATTAAATAAAAAAATCTCAGTTTATGACAAATTAATGTGAGAGCTTGTAACCTGTGTAATTAACTGAAATGAAACTTTCTCAATAGAATATTTTCTATAAACACAATTTAGTCATATATGTGTAAACTTTTCATGAGTAAGTGTTTTTAATCAGTGTTTAATTATACCAACAGCGTTTTATGGAGAACTTTAAAAATCCATTGAAAAACTGATAATAGAACTGGCTCTTAATATGAACAAATTGGATGTAGTCTTTTTATTTCTTATTTGTTATGTGTTATATTTAATTTTCTGCTTTTCTGGTTCGATATAAGAAGTATGATGGTTTAGAAATAAGGGTACAATAAAACACTTTGTTGTAGACATAGAACTAAGAAGCCTAGGCTAACAAATTGAGGGTGTAATTTTAAATGGAAATAAATATATATAATGTTCAAATTTCACGCTTGGGGACAATAAGTAAATTTTGTCGACAGAGAGTTTTTTGTTTAAATTTGTAAACTGAATCATGCAATTTTAATTTTATTAGTTTTATAAGCAGGAGAGTTTGCATGATAGATCATTTTTTTGCACAAAGCTGCGATTGTTTTTTTTTTCTAATCATATATCCTGTGTTTTAGTTGTTAGGTCTTTCTATAACCTAACAACGAACTAGAAATATGCCATTTCAATAGTTAGAAGTGGACTTAGACTTATCATTTTCATCTGTATTTCAAGTTTATAAGTTGATTGTGGATTTTAAAAATATTTAAGGAAATTTTAATTGGATTTACATTATATTTAAACTATGGATTTGTTTAGAAATGGCTATTAAACTCTTGAACTTTTCATCTCCTGAGGAATAGTTAAAAGTATATGAATTAATTAACAGACATTTTAATATTTTTGGAAGAAAACTATATTTAGCATTACTTTTTGGACAAATTTCAAATCAAATGTGATAGAAAGATTTCACTAGTTCAGCAGGCATTGTATAGAAGCAATATATTTAGTGACAAACAGTAAATGTGTAAAACTGTGCAAAAAAAAAAGTTGTTCACATGAGTTTTGTTATTACAGAGAATTGGATTTGATTTGCATTTGATAAAAGTGAAGATCATCGTCAGAATCAATCAGAAATTTGTAGACATAACATGTGATCATTTATATATCAGGCACATGAAGCTGTGATTTTAGACTGTTTCAAACAATTCAGAGTTGTATATTGTTAGATAAATTCATTAAAAATGCCACACTTTTTACAAACTTTGTCCACATCCATCCATGGTTTGTTGCAATCGTCTAAACAAGCTCGTATTACTTACAGGAAAAGAGAGAAAGAAGTTTCCGAGCAAGAAAAATTGTTACGGTCACACGAAGGAGTCAAAAATGCCAAATCTATAGAAAAACAACGACAAAAGAATTTCCGTCTGAAACAGAAAGCTGCATTTAGAATACAAAAAGCATGGAAAAAGTAAGTTAACAATTTTGTATATTGTAAACCAAATCATTCTGATAGACACTTAAAGTGCATTTAACCCTTTCTAGCAGTCTGAACAGTAGTTAATTTTCACTATTATCTATTTGTCTTATTGAATTTGTTTTATTGTAGTAACCCTATTAGAATTTTGAAACAAGATTTATTTAATTTGTATAAGGAAAGATGCAAGTTTTACTTATTCTTGTTATTTTTCTTCTCATGAAAGTCATGAAAATTAGTTGACTTACAATATTTGATTTCAATCATTGTATTGATAATGTGTGAAATGTATTGGATAACAGGTGACACCCGTACAAATGTCTGTACAAATTATTTCTCACCATTCTGAATATGTATGAAATACTTGCCTCTGGGCATTAAATCACACAACAATCATTTAATCAATATGTAATTCCTTTTCTATGATAGAATGAAAAACTGTCACAAAGAGTATGTTTTGTTTATAAGTACATATATAAATAAGGAGATGTGGTATGATTGCCAATTAGACAACTATCCACCAAAGTTCAAATGGAGTGGATGGAAGCAATTATAAGCAATTATCTGCAATGAGAAAACCCAATCGGGCCATACCAAATAGTCGGCTATAAAAGGCCCCAACATGATAAATATGAAACAATTCAATGAGAAAACTAACAGTCTAATTTATAACAAAACAATTTACAAAAAACAAATATGACCGACGTGAACCAACAACAACCACTGAACTACATGCTCCTGATTTGGGACAGGCACATAAAGAATATGGCGGGGTTAAACATGTTTATGAGCGCTCAACCCTCCCCTTACCTAGTACTGGTGTTGTAACAACACAACATAAAAACAAACTATAAAAATCAGTTGAAAAAGGCTTTACACATCAGAGCGATACATAGAAAAACATCAAACAAAACACAGGACGTGGCAGGGTATATATCCTTCCCTCATCCCTCATCCCTAACAACAAACAAGACGCTAAGTACAGATCTGAGTGTACTCACAGTTACTGACAGCTAGTTCAAAGCCAATAACAACTAATAAAAAGAATCATGTATTTACGACTTAAAGATCAATCAGTACACACCCAACATCCAATGGATTTAGTGTAAAGACTTCATTAACAGTCAGAGAAAAACATGACCTTGTGCAATGCCAATATAGGTATAAACAGATTGTAGTACCGTGAAAGTACATATATGTAATATTAAGTATGGTTTTAATTTACTGATAATAAAATCAATATGTATACCGATAAAAACAATATTCAAAGATTTCATGCCTTTTTCAATGTCCTGGATCCACAACTTATTGCTTATGGTATCTGAGGATCTCCATAGTATAACCACAAAACTAATCATTGACCAATTTACCATGAAAATGAGGTCAAGTTAAGATTACTCCTGATGAAAGAGGAACAGGTACACCTTACAGTCATCCCATACACCAAATATAGTTGACCTTTTGCTTAAAGTTTCAGAGAAACCAACTTATCAAGAAACTTAACCTTGATCAGTAATTCATGAAATGAGGTCATTAATATGTCAGGTAAAGCTGACGGACAAGTATATCTTGTAATGATTCTAAATATCAATTAAAGTTATCCTGTAACTAACAATAACTGAAAAATAAATTGAAACAAACACTTGTTTTTTTTTTTTTGAAGTAATTTTTGCTACTTATAAAAAGGGTCTTTTTATTTTAGTTTAGAGCTAGGAAAAACGTTCATAAATGTATAGTCAAAATGTTCAATAATTTCAATCTACAAAACTATCAAATCTGCAGATTTTTAGGAGTTCAAACTAACATCCTAGATAAAAATTTAGATTTTTTTACTTTACTGGTTAACACACCAACACTCGTACCCTTTCAGCATGGGAAAAGGAGAGAGAGAGGGGGGGGGTTCTCACAAAGACAATGGTAGGAGTGGTAATTGTAAAAAGACCATGCATTAACCACATATCAATAAGGGGGCCCAATAAGTTAATGTGATATTTGTAGTCAATCATGATCAGTAAAATAGGTGAGACATCTCAGCCTGTGCACTCTTGTTATTTTGTGAATATTATACAATAATATTTGAACAGCTCCTCTTTGGAATTGAAGTGGTTGTTCCCACTTTTTGTCCTTATTTCATTATATCAGTGTTTACGTAACTTTTAATCCCAAATTAAATATCTTATTTAACCATAACAAACCTTAATATATAAAGTTAAAATAAACAGCCTTTTAAAATCTTAAGAAAAAGGTTCTTAACAGGAGATTTACTTCATGAAATTAGAAATGTTCAATTTGTATAATCCCCACCTACAAAAGTAGAGGAGTATGATGTTTTCCAGTCTGCCCATCTGTTAGTTTGTCTGTCCATTCCAAATCGTGTTAATGTTTTTGTTTAAGGGAGTTTGTGGTCACATCAACTTGGAACCTAGTACACAATGTACCAATTTTATAACTTTTTTTTAGAAAAGCTGTATAAATATTTGTCATAGGTTTTGGTCTTACAGATATGCCTAAATAAAGTTAGCTAGGTAGTCAGCAGGACAGATTAAGTGAAAGGTTTTATGTTCCTACTAAAAAGTCAGTTAGCTGGAACTATGTATAGATAAAAATAAGAAGATGTGGTATGATTGCCAATTAGACAACTCTCCACAAGAGACCAAATGACACAGAAATTAACAACTATAGGTCACCGTACGGCCTTCAACAATGAGTAAAACCAATACGGAATTGTCGGCTTTAAAAGGCCCCGAAAATGACAAATGTAAAACAATTCAAATGAGAAAACTAACGGCCTAATTTATGTACAAAATAATGAACGAAAAACAAATATGATACACAGAAACAAATGACAACCACTGAATTACAGGCTCCTGACTTGGGACAGGCACATACAGAATGTGGCGGGGTTAAACATGTTAGGGGTGCCCAACCCTCCCCCTAACCTGGGACAGTGGTATTTGTATGGTTTCAATGGTCTTATTTTACATCATTTGACTTTCGGATGTGTGTACATCTCATAGATAATTGTATGTCTGTCAAAAATTTCTCAAGGAGAAATCTCCTTCAATGTTCATGTATACAGCTAAGGCATCATTCTTGAAGAAATTATTTCATACTGTTTTTAAATGTTCTGTCCTATTTGAATTTTTTATTGAATTGGTTTTCTCTTTAGCAAATTATGGACTTTACCATTCGGGATTGAGCCATTTAATTCTCAGGAATTCAGGAATACCCAGTCAGTTATTTTGTCAGGAATTCAGGATTTAATTGTATTGTGATGTAAGAACAGACACATTAATTTCACTGAAATTCTGGATTTGATATTTATTTTCTGAGGAATTCTGATGAGACCCTCTCGTACCCACCTCTTTTACATATAAAAAAAAATTAACCTGAATTTCAATGCAATCATTGTAATAATAACAGGCTATTATTTAAACTTGGAACTATTTTTAATTATGGAATTTGCATTATTTCTTGTGCTTGAAATTTTTAATAAATTCCATGTTTATTTGGTATTATAATGTTTTTAGCGATTCATAACACTTTCCATATAATGTATTTTGTATAGATAGTGTTGTGCGCGGCACAATACATTCTATTGAAAATGTACTATCATCTTTGTAATAGAAAGTGTTGTGCGCAGCACAGAACATTAAAGTACAGAATAAACATGGAATTTATTAAAAATTTCAAGCACAAGAAATTTTGCAAATTCCATAATTAAAAATAATTCCAAGTTGAAATAATAGCTTGTTGAATACAAATTAATGCTTGAACAGCTCCTCATCTGAATTGAAGTGGTTGTGCCCACTTCTTGTCCTTATATTATTATATCAGTATTTACTTACTTGTAATCCCAAATTAAATATCTTATTTAACCTGAACAAACCTTCATATATAAAGTTAAAAAAGACAGCCTTTTAAAATCTTATGATTTGCTTGAAAAAGATTCGTAACAGGAAATCTGCTTGTAATTTTTTTTTAAAGGAAATTACAAGTGTTAAAGCTGTTTATTCCATGTATACCATACAAGTTTAGTATGTATAAGAAAAGACAGTATGACTTTTCGTCATAGGTCTAAAATAAGGTCCAAGGACTAGTACACTTTATAAAAGTCATTAAATCCTATTTTTGCATGACACTTTGATGTGTGTAACTCTGTTAGACAATTGCATGTCTGTCAACAAAGTTTCTCAATGTCACAAAATTACTTGTATCAAATTTAATTGTGTTCTATTTTGATTTTTAACATAATTGATTTTTTGAGTTTTCTCTATGGCAATTCTGGAATTTACCATTTCTAACTTTAGGGAAGTTTGTCGGTGAAAAATCTGCTGCAACGTACCGAACATTTGAATGGGACAATACTTGGTCATTGTGGTGATCAGATTTATTGGATTATTATAGGAAAAAGATTATTGAGTTTGACATTACTGAAAATTATGGACTTTTTTTTCCATGCAGAATTTACTATGTATTGATAGAATTAATTCATAACATGTCCAAAGGTGCCTTTCAAAAAAAAAACTTCGGGTTAGATATACTCTACTTTGCAACTTGCTTACAGTAGGTTGAAAAGACATATTCAGTCAAACCTGCTAAAGAGACCACCTGTACTAAGCAAAAACCTGTGTTATAAGACCATTAATTTTTGGTCCCTTTGTAGTGCATTTCATAAAGAACGAAACCTGTATTAAAAGACTACCTGTCTTATGAGACCCCTTTCCCTTTTCTGCTCTCCTTAAAGTGGTCTCTTAAAACAGGTTTCACTATATATGTTTTTGTGTTAAAATTTTAATATAAATTAATTTAAAAAACATATGAAATTTCACTTCAAATTTATATCCATAGATTTAAGCATATTTAATTTCATGATATAAATTATAGGCTTGGAAAAAATTTAAAACCTTGTTAAAAAAAATAATATTTAAATGCCATATTATACATTAACCAATAATTGAACTTTTAATTCAGTGTATGGTTTAAACTTTCAA